TCGGGAAGGTCGCCAAATGATATTTTCAAGTTAACTGGTCCAGAATATGTATTTTCCGGACCAGTTAACTTGCAAAAATCATTTGACGATCTTCCCGATTGAGTTTTTTGCTCAAATTTGGTATGGATGAACTAGACTTGATGTGGAACATACACAAAAATTTTGAGCGAAAAATACTACCGGGAAGACCCCCAAATAGAGGAGTCCGGACGGGGCTCCTGTCCGGAATTTCCGGACAGGAACAACTCTCTATATATATGAAAATTGAATATTGAAAAGAGTAAAAGTTAGAGTGTTTGATGATTTATTTTTTTGCTTTATACTCCCTCCGTCCCATTTTAAATGTTCTACTTTCATTTTTGGGTTGTCCCAAAATAAGTGTTTTCTTAGCTTTTTTGGAAAGAAATATGTGATCTACATCATTTCACTTTATTATATTCAAACCTCAACCACAACTTTTACTTTTTCAACCACTTCATTAATAACCGTGCCAAGTCAAACTAAGATACATAAAATGGGACGGAGGTAGTAGAATAAAAGAGAAAATATTGTTAAAAGAGGCTTTTCTCACTTTAGTTTTGAACTGCTTAACTTTGAATAAAAATTATTTTTAAAAAGCACTATCTTTCATTGTAAAAACTACAAAATATGACTTTTCCATCTTTTGAAGTAATTAAAAGTTGGGTTTTAACAGTAAATGGAGAGGAAATATTTATTGAACTTTTAATTATGCTCCGTTATAATATAATATTGGAGTGTTTGGTTAGTAGCCCATCAGCTATTTTTGGGTTGATTTTACCAATTTTTCATTTTTTTGACCAAATCAATCAGTTAATTAGAGTGTTTTGGTTAAATGATTTATCTATTTGGCCTTTTGCCTCAATCAGCCAACCTAGGAAAACACCAATAACCTTAAATTCATTGGGATTAATTTGTGTGATTTTAAATCGTTTTTATTTTATTATTACAATATCAATTCAATATCAACAATATAAATTCACTGATCTTGATCACCGTGTCACCTTCTTACTATCATCCGTTCTTTAATAGTTGTCGCGGATTTCATGGTCCATCACATTCATGCATTTACGATTCATGTGACAGTCTTTTACTCTTTAAAGGTGTTCTATTTGCTCGCAGTTCCCGTTCAACGATTTGACTTTTATGTTTGCCAACACACGACTTTGACCGTAATTATATTTAATTACGCATCATTAAACATTATAAAAAAGTTAATATTTTGGAAATTCACATTAATAGAAATTTAATAACATTTTATAAACAATAATTTGATTGCATATATTAGTATAATATCGTGATCAAAGTAAGGTGTGTGAATAATGTAAAAATTACAATGTTGCAACTTTTAAGAAATAGAGGAAGCATGTCATAACATTAGCCGGACGGAGTTGGCCCACATGAGCTAGTATTAGTGATGGATAATATGTATCCGAACATATATAACTAGGAGAGATTTGAGCTATGAAGTAAAGAAGATGATGAATAGTGTATTGTGAATGAGTAATGAATTATGAAATTAGGTTTAGAAGAGCTTCCTTGGGGAGTATATATAGAGAATAACGTGTTGGGCCGCTAATATGGGCCCGATAGGACCAATTACATAAAAGAATAATCTAGTACATACAAATGATAAATGAACTATACAATAATATAAATGACATCTGGTAAGCGTGTGTGAGCCGCTATCCAGGCCCAATAGTCATGAAACTCGGGGGTCCGAATTCATATACTAAATCAATTAGTTAGGTTAACACATTTTTATTTTTTTAAATCATAAGAAACAATTTAAATAGTTGTGCAATTATATTAATAAAAAATTACCTGATGTCCTTAAAACTTAAAAGTTATTTAAACAATTATCAAAGAAATTGTAAACAATCACTAAGGATGTTTTTACTTGGACTGTAATTTGTTCCAGACCAGACAAGACCAGACTAGTCCAGACCAGACCAGACCAGACTTGGATAGTTATAAAAATACAAAGAACCCAGACATTATCAGACCAGACCAGACCAGTTCAGACCAGACCAGACCAGATCAGACCAGACCTGCAAATTACAGTCCAATTAAAAACATCCTAAATCCATTCCTATTTTACAAACTGTTTATTCAACTTTGGTTGTAAAAAAAACTGTTAATCAAAACAACTAGCCCAATAGAATTTACTGCTAAGTGCCAAACTCTCCATTCTCAGCCACACCACAAACTGGATTTTCTCAATTTCTTCCTCCAAATGACTTGTTAGTTGTTACAGTCTTACAGTGACTTGATACTGAGAAGATAATCTGAATCTTGCGATGGATCTCAATCATCTTCTTTCAACTCTTCTTCCATCATGGCCATCGGTCTCCGCCATTTCCTCAACTTTCTATTTCTGTATGTGTGCACGTGTCTGTTTGTACGCGTGTGCCTGTCTAACTATGTCTTGCTAAAATAGGCTGGGATGCTACTCTTCTTCTTCGTTTATCTGGGAATTGCCGGATCACTTCTTCCAGGAAAGCTCGTTCCCGGGGTAGTTTTGTCCGATGGCTCTCGCCTCCACTATCGCTGCAATGGTACATGCTGTCTGTGCCGTACATATACCTCTGCTAAAATAGTTCTGTCTATTTAATTTGTGAATTCTCTTGACATTGTAGGATTGTTATCGCTTCTTCTGTTTGTTTTTCTTCTTGGTTTTGGAGCATGGATAAATCTTGTATCGCCCACTGTAAGCACTTAATTGTTTTGAGCAGATGGATTATACGTTCTAGAGATTCTAAGTGTATAGTAGTAATTATGTTAGCCATGAGATTCTAACTGCAAATCCTAGCTTCTTACAAGTGATACCGTTTTTTCCTTGAGAAAAGATTAGAGTACAATTTTGAGCTCATCTGCTCAAATCGCATGAAGTAATTAAGCCCAACTGTGTATCATGATAGTGGACTAACATGTAGTGATTTTAAGAAGGTGGTGTATCATTAAATTTGGAACATGGTGTTGTTAATGAATATGTTATTGGAACAGATTTCCCATGATAAAGATTATTTTTCTTAATATAATTTGTGGCTACCGCCTCAGTCCCAATATAAGATTCCCATAAGAATTGGGCACCATTTTCTTGCACTTTTTTGAGGTCTCAAATTTTGTGGAAGTTTTAGTTCTGAAGAAAAGTACTTTCTTTGCCTTGTAAAAGTAGTGAAGTACTAAAGCTTTGTAATTTCATATTGCTTAAAATTGGCATCTGGTCATTCTAATCCAAATTTTGTTGTTCTTTAAGAAGCATGTTCTTAATGTTTTGCGATTATTGATATTAGATCTTTGATATGTTGCAACACTTAAGCGTAGAATCAAATGGAACATATTGTTTCATATTTTTTACTTGACACTTTAAATTAGTGCAAGTTTGAACCTTTATTCATATTCTTGCAGGCAATAGCAGACAGAGGGATTGAAATTTTGTCAGTGACATTTATATTCAGTTTTTTGGTAACTTGCACTCTACACTTCTTGATTTCATTTGTTTCAATGCAGAAATTTAAACCCATATGGTTTCTACTTTCTATAAAGAAAAATATATCTAGATTGCCTCATATTTCTAACTTAGCATGATTTCTAACTCACAAAACATGTATTGCACGGTTGAAGATTTACAACTCACCCTTTCAATTACACATACTTGCATTCGCACAAGCTGTTCACTCCACGTAAATTTTCACTAGTTCTGAACCGTCTGAGTCTGAAATATGATTTGTCAATTATGGCCCTAAAAAGGAACTTTTCTTTCCTGATTTGTGTGTGCCGTTAATGCAAGGCAACACTAGTACTCTATTTGGTTGGATTCAAGTCAAGAGCTTGCAGCTCATCTCTGAAGCCTCACGTAACCGGAAACCTTATCAGTGACTGGTAATTCTATTGATTGTTGCTTAACTGAAAAAACTTTACCTTTGAATCCAGAGTCAAATATCAATGGGGCCTTTATTTTCTGTTGGATACAATTCAATGAATTCATGACCATTAAAAGTAAGTGGGGCCTTTATTTTCCAATAGGATACCATTCTTATTTTTACTCTCACATTTGTGTAATGGCAGACAGTCTGTCTGTGCTTTAGTACAGTAGTAAGACTGTGTACATCCGACCCCCCCTTACCCCACCGTAGGTGGGAGCTATTGCGGCACTGGGGTAATGATGATGATTTTTGAAATGGCAGACGATAGTTATCAATAATATTTATTCATCTTGAGTGCTTTTTATTCTTCTATTCTTAAATCTTATATATCCTAAAACAGTAAAGCAGTCATTTCACTGTATGCATGTTTCTTTCTTATTGCTTTTCATGAACTATTACTCAGAATATTCTGATGCCCTAACGTGTTATTTTCTCAAATAGGTGGTTTGGGATACAGTTGAATCCTCAATTTATGGGCATTGATCTGAAGTTAGTTTCTTGCCTCCACATTAAGCAATTTCTAAACTATACACTTGCTTACTGTACTTTTACTTATAATATCCATGACACCTTTTTGAAGGCCTTATTCATTTGTTACATGCTCGTTAAGTAATGAAACCTTCTTCTGTAGATTCTTCTTTGTTAGAGCTGGAATGATGGGATGGTTGGTTATCAATCTTTCAATTCTTGCAAAATGTATTCAGGAAGGCGATTTAAACCAATCAATGGTTCTTTACCAGATATTTAGCGGAGTAAGAACATTTCCCTTTCCTTTCCTGGATGAGTCATATGATTAGAAAATTAATGTCACCATACTTTCATGTATTTATTATATATTCAGTGCGTGTATAAATTAATACTTCTGTATGCTCTCCATTTATTGCAGTTGTATATTGTTGACTACTTTTTCTATGAAGAATTTATGACCTCCACGTAAGTATATTCCTAGCCCTATTTTCACTATCATAGATTATTTTCAATATTGCCTGAACCATATGGTTTATATCTATGTCATTGTTTACCTTATCTCAAATTTCTTTCCGTAATTTTTTTTGACAAATCTCTTATTTCCCATTTTCAATTATAACTGTTTTAGTCTTGGCTGTACTTTGTAGATGGGATATAATTGCAGAGAGGCTGGGGTTCATGCTGGTTTTTGGCGATCTAGTGTGGATCCCTTTCACCTTCAGTATTCAGGTATGTGAAATTATGTGATTTGTTTGTTTACATGTTTCGTACACTCCTGATATATGGCAATGTATTATAAATGAACTTCAGCTCATTTATCATCATTTCTTGCACAAGTAGATTGGTCTTGGTGTTCGGAACGTGGATGATATGTACACAATACCATATAATATCACATGTTCCCTTTCATTTTTATGTTTCTGTATGATCGAGTGCACTAACCTTTTTCTAACATATGAGTGACAACTGTACTGCCATAGTTACACAACTTTCTTTAACAAGCTGTTATCCTTTTCACGGTCTGCCTAGAAGTGCTTTTCTTCATGTTAAACTCTAATAGTTCATATAGGAGTATAGGACAGTACAACTGGCGTATAAAGTTTATTCACAGTCCTATGGCTCAAATTCATCATCTTAAGAAATTGAAGAAGGATGAATGATGTTTAAATTTTACTTCCTCCATTCTATAATTCTTGCAACATTGTGATTTTTACACTATTCACAGATCTTACTTTGACCATGATTTTCTACTAATACACATAATCAAATTATTACGTATAAAATGTTATTGAACTCTTATCAATGTGAATTTCCAAAATATCAACTATTTATAATGTTTACTAATACATAATTAAATATAATTACAGTCAAAGTTGTGCATTGGCAAACGTGAAAGTCAAACTGTTGCAAGAATTATAGAACGGAGGATAGTATTAGTTTTGTGATGAAACTTGTAGGAATTATATATATATATATATATATATATATATATATATATAGGGAGCAGTTCCGGTAAGAACGGATCTTAGGAAAGAAATGAGAACGAATCTGGACCGTTAGATTGAATTTTGTGGAACTGAATTGTGCATTTGGTGAAACCGAAATGTGCATTAGATGATATTGAAATGTGCAGAATAAAAATTTAAACTCACATGTGCATTAGGTGAAACTGAAATGTGCAGAATAAAAGGTACAAAAATAACATCACATCATACCTTTTATTCTGCATATTTTAGTTTCATGTAGTGCACATTTCAAATTCACCTAATACACAATTCAGCTTCACATAATGCCACCGTATCATACCATTTGTGCTGCACATTTCAATTTCACCTAATGCACATTACAGTTTCATCTAATGCACACCGAGTTTCACTTATAGCAAATCTAACGGTCCAGATTCGTTCTCATTTCTCACATAAGATCGTGTTCTTATTTGAACCAAAACCTATATATATATATATATATATATATATATATATATATATATATAGGGGAAAGATCAAGTACAAACTGTGCTTATTGTGCAAACATTTGTACGATGCACCTTAACGTTCTTTGTATTGCATATTGAGGTTCAAAGTAGTGCATATTATTCAGCCATAAAATAGCAGTTGCACATTAACGTTCAACGAGTTGCACCCTAAAAAAGTTGGGTTTTATTACAAAAATGCCACCTTGCCTTTATGTCCTTTGGATCAACTCATTGGACGGTCAAGATGAGTTTGTACTTTGTAAATTAAGAAGGGTTTGTATTTGATCTCTATTCTCTCTCTCTCTATATATATATATACATATAGGGTGACGTTCAAATAAGGAGTCGTTAGATGAGAAATGAGAATGAATCTCAGCTGTGGGGTTTGATTATGTTGCACTAAAAGTGGTTCATGTTGCACTGAAATATGCAATTATGCACGGTGACATTTTTGTAAATACTTTGAAAAAATCCGTGCTACACGTTTCTAGTGCAATATGAAGTTAGTTTGGTGCAACATCTTCAAATCCTAGTGCAACACGAAACTGTTCTAGTGCAACATCACAAAAGTGAAATCTTAGTGCAACATAAAGCTTATTTTAGTGCAACATCATAAATCCAACGGTTGAGATTCATTCTCATTTCATACATTAGGTGCATTTCTCACCTAATCCAATAAGGAAAAAGATATATGCATCACATATGAACCATGCATTCATATACATTTAATTAGATAGATGGCACACTGCACACTATAAAGTTGTAAAAAGACTAAGCGATGTATATTTTTATTCTTTTTTTAAATTTTATTAGTCTTATTAGTTAACATTAACACCAATCTCGTTATAATATTCCATTTTCAGATATTTTCATTGTAAAGATCTGTATTTCATTAAATAACTGGGTGCACTTGACATATGTTATATGATAAAAAGTTTTTGACGCAATTGACGTATGCTATTAAGTATGCAGTGTGATATAAACAAACATAGAGCACCAATATAAGTTTTCGTTGTGCTGTCTCATATACTATTCATTGGATTTGGGGAAATTTCCTGAGTTAGGAGTAAAAACAATGTGATACTAAACAGGGTACTGTGTTTCCTCCTAAGTAAGAGTAAATTACTCATCCTAAAATTGTACTTGCCATCTTTTGGCATTAACAGGCATTGCTATGGTAGTATTTTTCAAGCATGCCAAACATTACTCATATATAGGGAAGAACCATAATACTCCTATTTTGGAATATATCACATTGTTTTTGCTCCTACTTCGGGCAAAATCTGTTAGATTTATTGTATGGGATGAATGTTGGAAATGATAGCACACTAAAGCACATATATTGCCAAAACCAAAACAATGTTGTAGTACCAAGTATCATGTCGTATGAATGTATGGTACCTTAAAAAGTTTATACAATTCACAGTTTTCACACTTTTAATTCCTTTAAGCTTTACTATGGCCAAACCTTGAAAGCTTATTTTCATTACGAATTTTCTCTTGTACTACTGAAAATTGATTTTCTTCTCATTTTCTTTCAGGGCTGGTGGCTTTTAAGAAACAAAGTGGAGCTAACAACAGCTGCTGTAGTTGCAAATTGTCTTGCCTTTTTGATTGGGTAACTATTTTTTGTATTGAATCCTCCTCTCTTTGTTTGTTTCTTTAAAACACATTTATATGTTATATTCATATGGAGTGAGTATTACAGTCTTTTATATCATGTTTAAAAACTTCCTCATTAATCTGCAACTTTTATCTTCGGTGGAAAGGTATCTTGTGTTTAGAGGATCAAACAAGCAGAAACATCTCTTTAAAAAGAACCCAAAAGCTCTAATATGGGGAAGACCTCCAAAAGTTGTTGGAGGGAAATTGCTGGCTTCTGGCTATTGGTGAGCTTTCAATTTTTACATCCATGATTTCTTGTGGTTGATGACTTTCATTTCAAATAGACATCTCTTTTTGAAGGGGAATTGCACGACACTGTAATTACCTCGGGGATTTGTTACTTGCACTGTCCTTCAGTTTGCCTTGTGGGATAAGGTAAACTAATCACTAGCCATCTACAGAGTATATTTCATGACAGTTTGTGTTTGAACTAATGACTCATATCAATACTTATAAGACTGACAGAATTCCTATTTGCACTATGAATCTATGCAGCTCTGCAGTTCCGTACTTTTATCCTATATATCTTCTTATCTTGCTAATATGGAGGGAGAGAAGGGACGATGCCCGGTGTGCCGAGAAGTATAAAGATGTTTGGGAAGAATATTGTAAACTTGTCCCTTGGAGAATATTGCCATATGTTTATTAAATTAAAGAACTGTTTGTTCACCATTGTGGTATCTGGGCATATCAAATGGATGTGAGCACCACCTCCCCACACACAAAGAGATCGAATACAGATCCGATTAGTTATTGTATTGTGAGTGCAGCTAATTTGAGGAACTTTAGTTTTCTTATATTGTACTGTGTAGTTTCAAATCTTTTGAGTGAATCGGTTTATTGAAAGCTTAGATTTTGCCGTCACGGTCACAGTAATATCAACTATTCTCAAATAGGCAACGTCATTTTTATTACTTATTGTACTTATGTGTTCAAATCCGTATATATGAAAAATTTATTCCGTACATTTTAAATTATTGAAGAATGTGGTGCATGCAAATGCTAAATAACTCTTTATTTCTATTATTAAATTAGTATATAAGACACATATTATATGTCGTATTTTTAAATTGTGAAACGTTTAAAAGACGTCTGTATCCTTATATATTTCACGAACGTATGAAACACATATTAAGCCGTATTTTATATAATTGTATCGTATTATACACGAACGTACGTATTATTGTATTATTCACGAACCGTATATTACTAACAAAGTTTCCCATCAATCTATTGGGAAGGATATACCTCCTAAACCTTTGTCATTATGTCCTCAAGTAATATATTATTCCCATTTTACTGTCTTACTTTCTTTTTTGGGTTGTTCCAAAATAAGTGTCACATTTTCCTTTTTGGTAAGAAATATGTGGTTCACAACATTTCATTTTACTATATCCAAATTTCAACCACAATTTTTACCTTTTTAACCACTATTAAAAATTGTGCCAAAAGCAAAGGAGGCACATAAAATGGGACGTAGGTAGTACTAAGCATACCTTTAAATTTAGAGGGTACAACTCAATACACAATTATTCAAGTTTCACAAAAGTTAGCTGAACCACCACAAAATGACAACTACATTTGGGATTAAGATTCTTGTATAAAGATTTTGTATTATATTTACATGTTAGGAAACCTCAACATTGCATGATGTCAATTTTGAGAAAGGCGTTTAAAACTGCAACGTAGTATAACTTTTCCCAAAATTGAAATTTCAAAATAATAATTCAGCATTGTTCAAGTAATTGATCGTTTTGTGAGTTGTTTCTGACCAAGTGACTTTACTTTAAATATTCTTCAAGTATAACTGTATAAATAAATGGTAAACCATGTTGTGAAACGGTCCAATGACAATATGTAAGGTAGACTGTTAAGCATACCAATTGTTTAAACTACAGATCATTGTAAACAAATTTACTAAATTGGTCCATCTCGTTTTGACAAAATGACATTCGCAAATCAAGAAATGGTCCTTGCTCTGAAAGGTCGTCATCCCGTCAATACTGATTAAAATTCAATTTACATACATCTTCACATCTAACTGTCCGGTCGGTGTCGGAGGTCCTCAGGGATGGAGTGTCATTTTTTTTTATATAGATCCTGCAGAGAATCTATCCTAATTATATTATTATTACTATCATCATCGTCATTATTTTATTTTATTATTATTATTATTATTAAATGATGCCCTAATGTAATAAAAATTAAAACTGAAATGGGAATACTAAACGAACTAATATTAGGAGATACTAGACTTTTTATTTCATTTTTACAAAATACTAATATTATATTCACTAACCCAAACACCCAAAATTTCCATCTCTCTGTGTTCTTATTTTCTCTTCTTCGTCTTTCTCCATTTCTTCTCCTTTTAATTTCGCAATTAAAAATCAACCAAACTCTAGCTTTTTCACACATGCGATCCTCTGAATGGAAATAGAAAGTTACTTGCTATCTTCTTTTTATGAAAGGAAATCTCTAAACAAATATTTGCCGTTAGATTCAGCTGAGGATGTTTTTACTTGTACGGTAATCTATCCCATATTAGACCAGATTAGATAAGACAAAACCAAACCGGATCAGACTTTGATAGTTATAAAAATACAAAGAGATCAGACATTACCAGACCAGACCAGCAAATTAGAGTCCAAATAAAAACATGCTAAAAACTTAAAACTCGACCAACATTCTTCCAATAGGCTCCATCTAGCCTACATCCAAAGAAGCAGTGCGAACAATTGATCACCAAACAGTCAAAATAGAGTTACTACGTATTTTTTACCCTTAAAGTTTCGTACTCTTTCCTACTTCAAAAATCTCAAAATACCCAAAAATTTCTCTCAGTCCCTAATCAGACATATAAAAGTTCACCCAAAATAGAGAAAAACTTTCTTCTAAACATAATGAAACAAAAACCAAGGTAAAAGGTCAAAAGTTATAAAAATAGAACAAGAAACCGCATGTGGCCCAATTTAACCTTGAAACGTCGTCTTCCAAACCCTAGCCATGCGGCCACTCCAAACCCTAGCCATGCGGTTCATGAGGGGGATGACCGTCAAAACTTTATCTTCCTTGCACATCTCGTCATCTAACCTCAAGGTTAATAACTTCAAACTCATGGCCCATGAATAGATCCTCCGGTCTTGCCTTTGCACCGTGCAGTCATTTGCCATCCTTGCTAAAACCTACCGAAGTTGAAACCTTAAAACTAGCGCCGCCAAGGAGCGTCTCTGTTCAACCATAAAAATCGATCCTAGACTATGCTAGGCACCACCGCTACAAAATTTTAGTTCCGCTGAGCAGAAGAGATATGGATGAGAGAAAAACTTCACTTTACCATGCTATCTTCTACCTCACCATTTTTTTTTTTTGCAAAATTTGGGTCATTTGTAAAAGCAAAATATAAATTTATTTATTAAAATCGTATATGCTTGAATAGAGAATATCAAAATTTAATGGAGTATCAAAATTTGGATCATTTACACAAGCAAAATATAATTTTATCTATGGAAAAGAATATCAAAAGTTATTGGACTAGGGAGGTTAGCAATTAATAAAACTATAATAAGATTTACTAAAAATGCTTGTCCTAAGAGAAGAAAAGTAAAGCTTTTAAAATATGAATATAATGATATGTATTTACAGAATATTCTCCATCCCACCCCAATGATAATAAAAAATACTCCTCGTCCCAATAGTCATTTAGTCATTGGAGGTGCACCCCCCTCCCCCTACTGCTCTTTTTATCCTGCTAGCAAATCAATGAAAAATATACTTCCTCCCCTTTTAATTGCAACAGTCATCATTTCACGTTTGCCAACACATAAATTTGACCATTAATATCTTTCATTCCTTATTAATAAAAAAATTAAAAAAAATCATATTTTGAAAATTTAGAATGAGAAGAATTTAACGATATTTTTTAAAAATTTAATTTATAAGACAATAATAAATAAAATATAGTCAAAGTTGAATATGTGAATAGTGCAAAAAGTCTAATGTTTCAATTAAAAGAAAATGTATGTAGTATGTAAGGAATGAGAACGATGGGTCCGGTACAAATATTGAAGAATCGACACCTCACCCGTACTACATTTTGACTCAATCTTGGTCAGAATTGAGGATTGGGGATCCAGTTGTTTGATTATTCAGGTAAAGCTGTTAAAATGTAAATATAATGATATGTATCTACATAATACTTTCCATCCTGCCCCAACGGTCATACTCCTTCCGTCCCGAAAAGGTTGGCCAAAGTTGACTTTTTTCACGTGGATTAATAAAGTAAAAACTGTGTGGTTGAAATTTGTGCAAAGGAGAGAGAATTAGTTTTAGCCACATATCACATACTTTAATTGGAAATGGCAAATCTTTTTGGGACATCCAAAAAAGGAAATTTGACCAACCTTTTCGGGATGGAGGAAGTATAAAATACCCCATCTCAATGGTGCCAACCTCCTATTGCCCTTTCTATCCCGTTAGCAAAGAAATGAAAAATATATCTAGGGAATCAAGACGATGAATGCACTACCAATATCGAAGAATCTACACCCCATCCGTACTACATTTTTACCTGATTTTGGTTACAATTGAGGATTGAGTGGTTTGTAATTTTAGTTTGTAGTTGTTTTTATTATGATCATATAACTGATCAAATAATATTTTTGATTGCCATTTCTCAACTTATTACCATTGATTAATATTGATAGACACACTCCCGTGCAACACACGAGTGAAATATAGTTAATTGAAATTGTGCAATATTGAATACGTATGCTCACTTTACCTTTTAAAAGGTTACATAAAAAGACACATTTTTTATTTTTTAATCATTATGCCACACCACCCAACTTCATTTTTCACACCATAACATTCACACACGCGCACACATGACACACATATCTATGCCCCAGGTAATTAAATATCAGAATCACACATTTTATAATATCCAAGTAAGACTGACATATTTGTACATGTCCTTTCATAAGATGTGAAAGTAACTTAATACGGATCGTGCTGATTTTACTTCATACCAACATCTACATTGAACCAAGATCAGCTTATAATCACCTAAGGTCAATTTCTAGGTTTGTCTAAACTAATTAAGGTGTAGCTGTTCTAAATATACACATGGAACAAGGTTGATTGTTCTACTGTTTTTTGGGTTAATTGTTCTACATTTTGAGAATAGTCAAATACCTAACTACGCAGAGAACCTGTGCCTTCTTTTTTACAGAAATTTTAACGAGCCCGTCATGTGCTCAGTAAGGAGCACGCAAGTCTACGTGGAAGATACGGAAGTTAATACATATCAATTGCTCCATACCCATATGACCATGTCTATATAAATATCCATAGTTTAATTAAACATCTTAGCTCTTATCTATAACTGTTAACTTTAGTGAGCAAATAATGTGTGCTTATAAATAATATATGGTGTAAAGGTTGAGTTTAACCTTAATAATTAAACCATCTTTTGCAATGGTCAAAGGACTCAAAGATGGTCCTGTAAATTCTCTGGAAAAGTGTTGAGATTTTTTTAACTAAATAATTGATGATACTCTATTCAAATCCTCTTATAATGTTGGGATAGCCCTTGAATTTTTTGTATCTTATTGGCCATGCTTGTTTCTCAAAATTGCAGTATATGCTTTGCTCAATTCCAAGAGAGCAAAGGACTTGGTGGATCTTAAATATACAAGGACAAAGCTTGAGTAGTGGAGTCCGGGCCTCACAGAATTTTTTTGGCTACCTTTCGGGCCAGTCCGGGCCTCACAGAATTTTTTTGGCCCGGCCAGGCCTAGGCCCGACCCGGGCCCAGAACCGGTTGAGTTCATCACTAATTCTGAATTGTCAATGTAATATGAAGGCTTTATGGATTACTCAGATAGAGGCTACCAAGCAACTACCATTGCAAAATGAGTGCTCATAAAACATCAATGTTCCATCAATATGCTATGGGG